CAAGCATACAAATAGAATAAATATTTACTTAATAAAATTTAATGCAACATTACATTAGTGTATACTTACTAAATAATAACATTCATAATTGCAAATGCGCGGTCAATATGACCATATTATGGTACTTAAGATATTTAAAGGCGTGGAGTCGTGTCGATGACACACAAACTATGCAGGTGTTTGCCAGGTCAAGAACGACAATACTAAGTATCTGATTTTATATAATTTACATAATACATGACTAGTAACTCTTAAGAGCACTAGACTTTGATGTGTCTAAGTTAAATATTATTATTGGTAAGTCAAAATAACTACATCATAGCTTAATGAGCATAAGTGCAACTATCAAGTGTGAGGTCTCCGTGGTTAAGAGCAGAAGCCTTAGTACGAGTTTCATTACGTTGAAAGTAATCGAATCGAGTATGAGTTCGGCACTCTGATTGGTTGGTTCATTGGAGCCGGCCAATCAGAGCCTCGTAAAACAAACTCGTACTAAGGCGTCAGTATTGGTCGCGTCTCTTATTTGAAAAACGTTCAGTTGTACTTATATCGTGCCGTCTCTGTCATTTTACGAAGAATTTGTGGAGACAAAACTATACTTCAACGCTACTTATAGTTGAATAGCATTTCAGTATACGGGCATAATTTTGTAGATCATACCAGCAGCTGTAGCCAAATGCCATTTAGTGCGTGTCTACATGTAGAATAGAAAACCAAATTATATGGAATTGACGTAAATTTTGATTTGACACTTGTCAGTGCAACATTTTGATTTCTACTCTCTGTGTAGACAAGCGCTAAAGTGGCGTTTGGCTAAACGCTAAAGGCACAGATGACGTCTTAAAGTCAGAGTGGTTCTGTTTAGGGAACGAGAGCTAGACGCCTTGTATAGCTCTGTTTCTTTCCCTCAACGGAACCATTCTGACTTTAGGACGTCATAATAACCCCGCAGATCATTTAGGCTTTATGGTTCAAATGAAAGAGTATTATTTTATCAATGAGCCACTTCTACGAATCTTATATTTATATGGTACTTGATATGGTACAAAAATTTCGCTGTTTCTTTTAATCATTCAAATTCAAAGCGTTCTGTTTACTGACCACACTATGCCAAAACAAATTATTTCCCAATAGTAGTTGTGACCATAACATCTGCAATAATGTCTTAGAGCTTTAAAAAGTAAACACTATAAGAGCCACGGTTAACCGACACTCGCGGACAGACGGACACTCACGTACAAACAAACCCAGCTAACAAAGATTTGTAAAACTAAAAATTTCAATAGATATTTGACTTTATTCAAATGAAATTTAAACGTTCAAGTAGCTTTACGTCTTTATCTACCAATCTTACTTCTTACGGAGTGCGTAAGGATGTATACATGTGTGTGTGTGAGTGTGTGTGTGCGTGTGCGTGTGCGTGTGCGTTCACGCTAAAATGGCTGAAGGGAGCGAGATATAAGCAGGGGTAGATTATGGTCTGGTATGGAATAACACATGGGCTTCTTTTTATCCTACGGCTATGCGGGCGAAGCGAAGCTAAAAGCTAGTATACAATAAGTTTATTTACGCAGCTAGTAAAACGATTAGTAACTAGCGCAAACTAATATAAATACATTCAGTTGTTGCGCAACTAAATATACATTTATGCACAAAACCTAGACCTCTTAATAGTTTAAATAATAGCTGTTCTACCTCTAGATTTAAATGGTGTTAATATTTGATTTGATACCATCAGAATATACAAAATAATGCAAGCACTCATTCCCCAAGTTAGGTTAAGGTCGTAGGCTTGTTTAGTCGCTGAACCTTATAAAATACGTATACGTTGTACCCACCTAAACATTTCTTTGGTCCTTCTCCAAATGGCATCCAATGGCAAGGATGTAACTTGGCTTTGTTCTCTGGTGAAAATCTTTCTGGATTGAATTTCTCTGGCTCGGGAAAGATTTCTGGGTCCATATGTATCGCGTGTATCGGTATAAACACCATCGTGCCTTTTTCTATGACCAGGTCACTGTTTGGCAGTTTATAGTCTTTGTTGCATCTCCTAAATAGGGCACGCATCGATGGGTGCATCCGCATCGTTTCTGAAATGAGAATAAGTATTTAATTAATTTAGGTTCCTGGCTATAACTTCATCGTCGCGTGATAAATATTTTAGTGTATTTGCAATTTTTTTACTTAAATCTACTTATTTAGTGAACACTGTAACAAACATTTGTTGATCATTCATCGCCTTTCACTAATAATATTTAATTTCTTCTATAATTTGCTGATTCTGTCACAGTAGTAGAAGCAGTGACACCTTTCTCGACAGTTTTACTAACAAAGCCAAAATATTTATTTGCTGTAATAAAACATTATTATGTAATACTCCTTGCTCACTTACATTATTTTATTTTCTAGATACATACCATCCAAAACCATGTTTAAATAGACCATCTCGTTTTGAGCTTCGTATGTGCACTCGCCTCCGTACTTGGCGAGTACCGTGTCCACCTCCTTCCTGACCCTGGCTTGAATGTGAGGGTTCAGAGCCAGCTGGTATGCTGCAAACTGGCCCGTAGTGGCTGAGGTCTCGTAACCAGCGATCATGTACAGCATAGTATTGGCTGCTACATCAGTCATTGTGAATGGGAAGTCTGTTTTCGAATATTTGACTTCTCCTGGAAAAAAACAATTGAGCAGTTTCAGATGAGTTCTTTATTTGCTCAGTAAGTAAGCTAAGCCGTTAGCCTTTTTTAGTTGGAATGCCTTGAATAGTGCAGATCACTGTTCATCATGATCATCATCATCAACAGCCAGAAGACGTCCACTGCTGGACAAAGACCTTCACGTCGCCCTTAGTCCTTCACGTCGAACCCCAGCTCATTACAGAGCACTGTTAAAACTTAGATGTTTATACTGAATTAGCATTCTGTTATAAAGCCGCCTCAAATTATATAGGACTACAAGGTGAATATTATTTAAAAAAAAAACTTTTAACGTAAAAACTGTCTATTCTCACAGGCATACCTTGTTCATCAACAACGTGGCCATTTTTTAATTCAATAAGTGTTTGTAAGAAATCGTTTCGTGTAACAGAATGCTTCTGCCGGTACTCCACTGTCCTCTTGACAATGCCACAGAAGAAATTCTCAATTTTCGAACTGATCCGTCTGATCTTCAAACTGTCAAACGTGTCTGGCGCGAAAAATGCAAACGCGCGAATTAGTCTCCTGCAAATAACGGTATTGTTAGTGTTACGTCTTCTTACTGGACACCTTCGTTTGTCGAGTAGTAATAAAAACGAATGCTGACCAAAATGGCCTTATGTCCACGGGTCGAGTAAGCCATTTTTTGATATTTCCATGTGTATGGCAATATTATATTACATTTTTACTGTAGGCGTAATATAGTTATGTAATTTGTGAAAAGCATATATTAGTTGTTACACTTAATATGTCCACCTCAAGCATAGGCAAATGGAAATATGAAGCGTGATTTAACATTGATTTAGTTCAATAATCTCTTGCGCTCTAGTCAAAAAATATTGATGACATAATATACATAACCTCACGCCTATCTCCCATGAAGTTGGGCAGAGACTGCGGAACGCCAATTGCTACGATTCTTACATGCTTCTTTCGCTTCATCATCAGTTATCACTCTTTCTCTATTGTGGAAATCGGATCCACAAACAACGTTGAATAATTGAATACTTAAATGTAATTATATAATTAAATGCTTAAATTAAATACTAATAATAATAAAATAAAGATTTTAAAATTATTTTTTATATTATATTAAAGAATGTATTAACAAGGTATGAAAAATATATAAAGAAAGAAAAATTAGATACAAATAATATAATTAAATACTTATAATAATAGTAATTAAATTCGTTTACAGTACCTACTTAATACTTCAACCACTATACCGATCGTGCCCTCACGATTGAGAAATAGCTTGCGGTCTACCCAAAAGGAAACAAGAGCCCAAGTGTAAAGCCAATACAAAAATATAAAGGAACTTACCAGTAGTGAGACTGATGATCAAAGTATTCATGTCCTCTTATATAAAACTCGGACTTAGGATTTACAAAACCATTGCATTCCACACCAAAACCAACGTTCCCGATAATCTCCATCGCGTACTTCGAATAGAAATCAGTGAAATTGACCGTCTCTTCATTAGAGTGTAACACATCCACATAGTCCAAAGCCTGTTTGGCTATATCCTCAACGATCGGGTACATTGTCTTCAGTTTACCAGGCGTGAAGGTTGGTGTCATCTTCAACCTTAGGGTTTTCCATCTTTTCCCAAAGATATTGAACAAGTTCGCCGCTAATGGGTCTCCAACCCCACCGGCATACGTACCACGCGATTGGAAACTATCAAAATCCTTTATCAACATCAGCTTGGCTATATCTGGATCGTGTATAGACAACACAGGTTGATGGAAAGAGTACATGCCTATATACGGCAAATGTTTATATTTAAAGTAGTTATCATAGTACGGCTGGAAAAACTGCTCCTCCCGTTTAATCACTTTTTTAATATTTCCGAAAATAAACTCCGGTTTGGGACCGACGACACCCCTTTTCGACCAATAAGTGAATTTATATCGGAACCACAGAATTGTGTAAATAATTGTAACTACGACAAATATTATTGTCTGCGGGCTTAACACTTGAGTTAGTAATAAAGACATTTTTAATTATTTAAATCACATTAATGGCACGTATTTAATTTTATTTATATTTTTGTAGTGGACGTTATTCACTAACGCTCGCGTATAATCAATGACCAGCCTGGCTCTAGTAGAGCCGCACTTTGCTGTAGGCTTGACTATTTCATAATGTCAGTGGCATTTCCACCAGGGTCAGTAATGCAATGAACTTGAATGACTAAATTATTTTATACAAACGAATTTTTATTAGATGTTAATAGAAACAAGTAATTTAAATAAATCAGTTTATTGATAAATATTTATTACAAAAATACACCAACTTAAAGTAAAAAACACAGTTTAAACTTACGGCTAAATCCACAAACCCGAGTATTTTATTTGTTAGATACATCCATGGATGAACTATCAGTGTTATCGCTTTCTGCCTTAACTACCTCTCGCCTTAATTGTACCAAATGCTGTAAGTACTCCTTAGGCCTACGTGTAGTGCTCTCAACGCCGTCTATTTTCATACCTTCCTTATAATTAGAGACATAATTTTCATATCTGTTAACTGACTCTTCCAAGTTATTACAAGAATTAATTAATTTTCTTTCTATACTCTGATATTCATTCACGTCATCATTATAGTCTCTACCACGATTGTAATAAGATTTGTTTTCAGAATATGGCTTGCGTCTTCTGCTTTTATACTCTGATCCATTATCTGTATCTCTACTATCACTAGAGCTAACATCTCTTATGTTTTCACGAGTTTCATAACTATTAAGTCCTAATTGATGCCCTTCAGATTCTAATCCCAAAAAATCTTTAAAAACTCGCGCTTTTGTTGTTTTGTATTTGGAACTTTTGTAAACTGGAATGTAATTTTTCTTTAAGCATCCCATTGTTCGACTACTGCCTTGTTTCCAGATGAAAGAGTCAGTATCTACTTTGCTTGATTCTGTAGAATCAGAATACAGGCTTTCGTAATCCTTTTCCAGTGGGAATTCTTTATCAGATGTTGTCATGTCAGAAGCACTTTCATTTTTATTTATGTCACCATTAGTTTCATCTACATTTCTAGTTTCTGAAGCAGTATCATTGGTTTTGCCTGCATGATTATCTTTGAATGTAACTATGCGTTTGGAATCCCTTTCTTTTGGCGGTGATAATATTATATTGTAAGGATATATATTTTGATTTCGTCCTAGTATCATGTTTTTAATCTCTGAAGAATTAACTGTTCTTGCAGGATTGGGACTCACTCTTGGCAAGGCGAAGTCTTCTGTATCTGGAAACTCTTCATTGTGCTTTACAGGATCGATTGATTTAATATCATCATCTTCTTGGATGATTACAGGAACTTTTCTTTCTTCTGCCACATTAACCAAAACACAAATTTCATCTTCTTTTATATCAATTACGTTTTGTGGGTCAATTGTACTGTGATTAGTTAAAAGATCTGGAGTACTCGTTACAACACTGGATTTACTGTGTGCTACTTTTAACTTTTCAGAATTATCGTCAGAAGTTTGAGATTCAGTGTCTACAGGGTACATTTGTGAGATGTTTATACTTATTACTGGAGCAGAAATACATTCTTCTGAAAAATTACGATTTTCCTTACAACAAACATGTTTTGATGTAGATGAACGTTTTCTTCTTCTAGGCGGAGGCACAATTATTGTTTGAGTGCATCGTTCGTTTTGATTTACAATATCAGTCATAACATTTGAATTTTTATAAGTTACGATCTTTGTTTCTGTAGACACATCACAAGAGTGGAGCGATCCTGTTGGACCAACGGCTATTTCTTTACAACGGGGTGTCATGTGCACCGTCTCAGTAGCTACGTCTCGACAAAATGCATAAGGATGCCCATTTCTGGAAATATATGAATATAGATCTGTTTGCACGTCGACGGCTTGATCTCTCACACGAGTTACTGTATGTCTTGTCTGTGTATGCGCTGGTATTCCTATCCTTCTTTTATTTCGAATAGCTTTCTGACTTAACTCCATAAGTCTCTGGCGTGCATTAGTGCAGATCTTTAGTTCACTTAATGGTTCCATTATTTTTCTGTCTACCATTGATTCTACTTTAGAGACAGCGGCTTCTTCCTTCTTTTTCAGTTTTGTGTAAAGTCGTTCTGTCACCGAAGCTACAATTTCTGCCCTCTGATTGTCATGTAGGATAGTTATATGAGGGACTTTCGTTTTATCTGTACTCGGTGCTTCGTTTATACTAGCTTCACTTTGACTAGGTAGAGTAGTCACCAAATTGCTGCTTTGACTAATTGTCGATATGTCGTCATTTGCTAAAACTTCTTGAGATCTAAATTGTCGTTTTTTGTGTCTTAGTGGAGCAATTACTTTAAGGTCATCTCCGCTGCTCGCTCTCTCCAGCGCAGGTCCGAACAATTTATCCATCTCTTTATTAATTTCACTTGCAATTGTCGAATTTTTATCCACGGTGTTAATGACATCTGAACTGCCGCTAGCTACTGATGAAGCTGTGGACTCAGAATTGGTCGCGTCCGGTTTAAGACGCGTAATATTCATAATGTTGCCTATGATTGCTACTTTATTTAAATCTTCATGTTGAGAATCATTTTGATTTACTCGTGGTGCCCAATGTTCTTCATCAAACAATATTTTACCGGTTTCTGGTACCTAAAAAAATAATTTTTAATTTTATTTCTTTCGCGCCTATTTATTTACAACAACGGAAACATCAAGAAACTTATACAAACATATCGAATATGGTTCCTTGAGAGTTCAGAGATGAGTTGATTCAGCTGTGCTTGTAACGCAGCTCTGGTTGCTACGTGAGATTCACAACTGACAGTGCGAGGTGTTGGTAGCTGACGAGCTCGAGCGGCCCAGCGCAGTGTTGAAGCCGATTCACCGTAGCAGACGACACTTGGAGACACAGCTGCATAAACAAACATATTACAAAACGATCATCACATTACATCAATTCCAGTAGAAATACTTTGATGTAAACAAACACGTGTTAGGTTTATTATAATTGCATCGGTCAAGGTCAGAACAGCTTTCAACACAAAACTGCTTTAACTGTTACCGACTGTGATTTAACTTTTGCGCATACTAATACACATTTGATTTGTGTCAAGGTTCTATCTGAGAGCTAGTCATCGACCTCGTAGCTTACCTAACACTCTAATTAAACAAAACTTGTATTGCACAACGCATTTTATAATATTTGTTGTACTTATCCTCGATGAGTATGCATAAACACAACAAAACCGAATTCGGCGTTCAATTGTTTCTGTTTAGGTCAGTGGGGGAGGAATTATTGTTGTAGTTGTAATGGTATTATGTACGCGTTTATGTACTTACTAGCTATGATAAATGTGCTGGCACCGCCTGTGAAACAGTCCTTCAATAGCCACGTGAGCGCCGAATCACGGTAAGGAACGAATTTGCCTCGCGTCGAACCGCCGTTTACTGACAAAAAATTAGGCAATTTAACATTTATTTTAATTACGAAAGACTATACTACTAATGATTGGTTGTTGGTCTAGAAACATTAACCGCATTTGTAAACAGACCTCGTTTACAATTCCCATATCGATCGTAATAATCTCACCATTATCAGTATGTATAGGCATACCAACTAGTTACAATTAAACAAACCCATCATACGTTATGCACAGGGTCACCATAACCCTTTACTTCGTCGAATAACAACTGTGTAGTATGCAGAAGATAATAATTCTTTCATAGAAAGAAAAAAATTTCCTCAATATAGATTTGTTGGGTTGCATGGGATTAAAACCCCGATGCTGCAATGTCATTATTATACCGGTATTTGACGCACGTTTTGCCAATTTGCATGCACTTTTACCACATAACGGCTATTTCAAAATATGTGTGACCTAGAGCTAGATGTTTAGCTATGAACCAGTAGAGAGATAAAACATACTTTGAGTAGGTTATAACATAATTCGTTTTTCCTACTCAAAGATGTTTAAAAAGGTGCACGTTGAGCATTCCACCCACGGTTACACATTACTGAACCGATTTCGAGAACCAACAAAACCAATAATAGTAGTTTTGCCTGATCTAGCAATAAAATATAGGTATATCCCAACCCAAAGCCCTCGGCAGACACACTTGCAAACGAGAATCACCACTCACCAGCCATCTAATGATTTAATCTAATTAGCAAATCATACGTTGTAAAATTCTGTCGCTGTACTGATTCATAGAACGGTGTCTTAATCTACTCAGTCTGTGTGTAGCAACACCTGCTCACGTGTTAGAGCTTCGTGAATCACGTTTATACAATCTAGCTGAGCATCACTGTTCCAAAATAGAGACGAATATAACTATACTAGGTGCATATTTGACAGAGGCAGGATAGCAGCGTTCTCTGATAAATCTGAACCTGAATCATTTTAAACTGCGATCTTCAACCTGTCTGCAAGCGTAGAAATTATAGCAAACCCTCTTATGCAGATGTGGCATAAGGGCCTTTCGGACTTTGTCCAGCAGCTGTAGCCAAATGCCATTTGGCCAGGCCGTAAATAAAATTTCACACAAGTTGGAAACTGGACTCAGCAGAAACTTGTGCACAGTTATAGCACTAAGACCAATCTACCATGTCAAAGAGGAAACATGTATACCTTTCTAGCAAGTCAAGTACTCTCTACTATACGTACCTAGTGCTGAGATCACGTTACTGAGAGCAACCAAAGACTTGTTTATGTTAGCACCTTCCTTCTGCCGGCCGCCGCCACAACCCTCCCAACTTGCTTTCTCACTGCATAGAACACACCAAATTAACACAAGCATAATATCATCATGTTAGGTCTTCTTGCTGACTACCTCTTCCATGTAGAAGCTACACGTTATACTGAAACTTAACGTCAATCTTTTAGTGGAATATTCAAAGGTGATTTTTGTCAGTTCCAATGTAAAAAGTACGTATAAGAAGAGAAGTAGAATAAGTCAATAGGGACGATGGGCAAATGTTTAGGATGTTTCATATTTTTAAAGTTGATTTACATTTTCCCTGCAGGCATGAAGTAAGTCCGTTCATGTTCAATACATGTTTAAATATTGATTTATTGCCGTCTCTGGTCTCTAGCATTTTATTTCTCCTTGTAAAATATTGGATTTCTCCATAACGAAGTAAGATTATGCCGTCATTTAGCAACGTGATTGACCAACAATATTAGTTGGTAATATTTACCATAAATCTGCGTAGACGAATGGAAGAATAATTTCTTAATGCATTTTCAGCTAATAAACGCAACGAATATAACGCATGAAATTCCCTTAGGAAGTATTTTTTTTAAGGGGGGAAAATCATCGAATGACTGCTCCCGCCTGGGTGAGGCGGAAGGGAGTGTCAGACTCTTACTGACTAAAAACCACCCCGTTCCTTCTCCTGCACGTCGAGCCGGAGCCCCGGTTACCCGTTAGGTTCTCCGCGACTCCGAATCGGCCCCTTAGGAAGTATAGATATAAAAGTGCAAGGTTTTATTGTCTATACTTGTATATTATTATTTTCGATGGCTGATATCTTCTCAGTTAATTAAACTCATATTAGGTGCTCTAAATCGCAATTATTGAGGTTTATCTACCTCAATAAGTTCCTGATTTTAACTTACTTAAATAGGCAGATCGTCGCGTAAATTAACAGTCAACATCGATCAAATGACAAGACTCATCTAATGGTTATAACTGGCTATGAATAACAAATGGTGTGAGTATTTAGAGTGGGGCTTCCTTCACTCTTCTACAATACAGGTACGATGAAGCTTAACCTAGTCGATGCTCAGTGGATTAGAGACATTAGTGTCTTGTACCACCGCACCGTGTAATGGGGTGAATACCTATGCATATAGCATATCATACATAATGTCATGTCATTCCAGAGAGTAAAGAGCGATAGTTTTATATGTACCTACAGTGTAAAGTAGGTCTGTTGCAAATAATTTTAGGGTTTGCTCTTTTAGACCTTTTTTACCCCTACATTTTTGGGTATTAAAAATAATTTCGAATCTTTACACTTTAAATATTTTACCTTTTAGCCTAAGGATCTAACCTGAAATCAGATTTCACATAACTAACATAACTTCACGGCTTTTATCCCCGCAGAGGTAGGCAGAGGTGCACATTACGACACTTGATGCCACTGTACAATATAACACCCACTTTCCACTATTTTATGTTATAAGTCACATGTATTACCATATACCGGGCACATTTCCAGACTCCCGACCCGGGAATCGAACCCGAGACCCCTTGCCCGGCAGTCGCACTTATGACCACTCGGCAAACGAGGCAGTCAGAAAATCAGATTTTATATCCAACAAAACCAGCGGATGTAGCATAAGTATAAATGGCTAAAAGGTACATCATCAATGTCAAAAAGAAGGAAAATGATCAACACAATATAATTTTTACAGTATACATGAGGCTTTGTGAGTTCAGTGTACCTTCCAGCTAAATCAGCGAGGTGCAGTGTGGCGTGTGGTGTGGTGATTTCAAGCAGCGCATGGGATCTGGATGAGGTGGAGTTACGGCGAGTGGCGGCTGTGCGACGGCGGCGGGTACCTTCTGCTACCAGCGACAGGAGAGCTTCCACGTCTTGCACTGACACGCGACGAAGATCTAACCGTCGAATGATATTATAGACATGAATGTGTGAGAATATGATGAATGTGGTTTTATTGATGAAATGACTGCACGGTTGGTGCGGTGGCTCGGCAACCGGCTGCCGTGCAACGTGTCACGGGTTCGATTCCCGCACGGAACAACACTTTGTGTGGTCCACAAATTTTTGTTTCGAGTCTGGGTGTCATTGTGTATGTGAACTTGTATATTTGTAAACGCACCCACGACACAGGAGAAAATCCTAATGTGGGCCAACGTTTGTATTTAAAAAAATGGATATAATGAAAATGATGATGGAGGAAGGTAAATTCTGATGGTCTCTATCTAAATTTCAGCTAAGCGCATTTGCAAACAGGCTTACAGAGCTCCCATTTGGTACCTACGGATCAACTGTAAGTATATTAATTGTGCGTGATTGTAGTTCTACGTGGCGTGGCATATAGCAATTATATAACTTCTTTCGTCTGATGATGATGATAACCTAGAAGAATTAACAATGCAAGTAAACTGCTAAGCGAAAAATAACCTACTTACTTTGAACATAAGGTCCTCTGGAAGGATGCTCACGGACACGCAAATCTTTGCGCGCATTTCCTCTGCGTCGAGGTAGAGAGTGGCAGGGAGGGAGCGGCACTTCCCCTGACAGCAAGTCGTGTACTCGCTCGTTGTATATCTCTAAGAAACTGATAAAAACACATCACATAACATAACATCACGCCTTTTACCCCAGAAGGGGTAGGAAGAACACATTACAACACTTAATGCCACTGTACAATGTAACACCCACTTTTCACCATTTATGTTATGAGCCCCATGTAATAGGGGGTGAACCTATTGCCATACACCGGGCATAGAATCCAGACTTCGTGCTACCACTGAGAATTTTTAAAAACCTAGTAGTACTTTGCCCGACCCGGGAATCGAACCCGAGACCCCTTACCCGGCAGTCGCACTTGCGACGACTCGGCCAACGAGGCAGTCACAGTGATCAAAGAGACAAGAGTCCGCGAAGAAAAAGAAATGTAATGTAATAAAAAAGAATAGTACTTATTAATATGGACACTAAATAAAGTAATTAGTTTTATGTTTATGGTGACACAGATAGGTACCGTACTTAAAATACAAGTATAGGTATTTTGTAGACATTATATATGTGATAGGGTTGTAGGTACCATTAATTTTGCCGACTGCATCGGTTCAGTAACCTTTCGTGGTTAGAAACGTGTGGCAAACGTTATGATTGATTGTGTAAAAATTCAGTCCCATATTATTTCCAACTTATTGAAAACTAATGAAAATACAAAAAAAAAACCTTTAGAAAAGTCGATATGAAACTGTCAAACACCAAGCGGTCACCGGTGACCGCAACCTATTGTTCTATAATTGTGTCTATAATGACGGTACTCGATGAGTTAAAATTGATGCCGAAGTTTAATTAGTCTTTTCCGAATAACTATTGTTAACTGTCCACCTGTAGGTAACGAGTTAACAAACTGTGTGCCAGTTAATTCCAGTTAGTCACGACACCACTATTTGTTGCAATAAATCATCGCAATTTAACGCAAAACAAAACTTTGTTTTAAACTAAGTTTGAACTTTTAACTATGTGGAAATTAGTATGGTAGAGTTGCGTGAACTTCTGTTCTGTTAAAATAGGATCGATTTTACTATAAGTATTTACTATCAATTACCATCTGATAGTCTTTTAGGGTACCTTTATCTGCTCGCGTACCTAAATATAGTGATGCCTTTATGGTTGCAGATGTAGATAGTTACTCAGGCTACCTAAAGGCCCCTATGCGGCCTTAAATTAAACCACTGGTAAAAACCCTTATTTAAGTGTCTATGTTATTAATGTTAACAGTATATACAGTGGGAATGAAGCAATTAGAATCACGTAGTTATTATGAACGCGAGGGCGGGACCACGGCCATCCGACACCTCGCACCGTGTGATACAGACGCAATAAAACAACTCGCCACCACAAAACGAACTATAAGTACCTACATATGTTATTATTGTCATCCCTTAGACAACGTTATTTCAAATCTAAATTATTGGTACCTTTGTATCTTCGATAAAAAGTAGAAACTTTTTAAGACCTTTTTTAAGAATCGTAAATTTGAATGGATTTAGGGACATTTACTTGCACATTTTATCTAAGGTGTTTTCTTTCTTATTTATCGTAATAAAATATAATGACAGCCATTTCTTTTTATTTTCATATGAAAGACTTCATTAAAGATTTTTATTTGTATAGTATCAGTATTTCAAATAGTAAGTATGTGGTCACCGTGGTTGAAATATTCATTCATAGCTTTTTATTTTATTTCAGGAGTTGATTCCGGAGTCCCATTAAATTTTGACGTTGTATTGTCGTTACATACATTAGGTAAAGGATCAGTGTATCAATGACACCATAAAAAAAATTAAGATTTTTTTACGCGACACCCATTTCATTATGACATATTTTTTTTAAACGAGTAACGATGAAGTTTATTGTTCGTTCTTTTCCATTCGAAGCTACACTTTGGAACGAGCGCCAAGCTTCATTGACAGACAGACGGACGGATATATTTAACGGATAATAATTAAGGATTAATTGAAATAAATGTTTTAACTTTGACTTTGAAGAAAAAATATACAACCACAAACTACACATGAAATTGTTTTCGGCGGGAAATTACAAAAAATACACAATTAATTTTCCAACGAAGCAACAATAAGAAACACTTATATTTTTGTTTGATGTAACTTAAAGTAATATTAGATTAAAATATTACCTCTTTATATGTTTCTAAAAGACGAACTACACAACGTAGGGGTGGCAAGAATATCGCGACGCGACTGCACACGGAGCGCGACCCGCAACCACTCAGAACGCAGAAAGGACTGAAGGAATGAAGTGCGGCTGAAGCCCTACTAACTAGTAACTACAGCCGTTTGAAAAATAATCTACAATCCACATTCTAGACAAAGCCCTGTGAATAGAAATGAAATTATTTCTTTGTTTAAAAAAGAAAATAATGCTTGTTTTTACACATTACTTGAACAAAGGATTACATGGATCAGTTCCTATGTAGATAATAATTACCCATAGTGGGTTACTCAGCATAAGATTTATTTTAAAAAAGTAATGTTTGTTGTTTCAGTGGCTTTAAGACAATTATTTAATGTTTGGAGTGAATTGTATATTTTTATATACCTGGGTAGAAATGATGTATTTTCCGAATATTTTTACGTGAGCTGAAATACGTAACCTGAAGAAATAGTTTGTAGGTACCTACATTGAAATAGTAAGTCGCGCTAAATGCAGTAGGTTTGATGGGAGATCACAAATAACGGCGTCTCTACTTACAAAAGTTATGATAAAGACTTGATTCCCTAGTAATTATGTTTTTAACTAGTGACCCGTCCCGGCTTCGCACGGGTGCAATATACATGTATTATACGTACACATAAACCTTCCTTAAGAATCACTCTATTTACTAAAAAAAACCGCATTAAAATCCGTTGCGTAGTTTTAAAGATCTAAGCATACATAAGGAAAGACAGGCGGCGTATAGCGACTTTGTTTTCTACTATGTAGTGATACATGTATTGTACCTACATATGAAACTTCCTTAAGAATCACTCTTCTACTAGAAAAAACCGCATCAAAATCTGATGCGTAGTTTTAAAGATCTAAGCATACATAAGGAAAGACAGGCGGCGTATAGTGACTTTGTTTTTTAGTATGTAGTGATAGTAGATAAGTAATTATTATCTCTGTCTATAAATTTCGTTTTTCAATCAGAAAACCAAAAGCTTAAAATATCAGTCGTCTCGTCTTATCCAATAAAGACAATACAACAACCATTAACGTACTGAACATTACGTTACAAATACGATAGTTTCCCTACATTTCTTGTATCCGTACCTCGAACACATGTAGAGCTACCTATATGGCGCCAATAGGGAGATATAACGAAGATAAAGCCATGAATGCCATGATGGCAGGGTGCTAAAGGCTCGCGTGTTACTTCAGCCTTGAGGTCAGGAACTACGGTGCCTCTTTATTACAACACAAACTTAATCGAATACAACCCACAATATATTACACGAGTGGAAAAAAACAATTTGTTCGAACTTTTCAACGCGCTATTAAAGGTGTGAAAAGCCTTCCTTTGTCCTTTGAAGGACTTTTTTCGGATATGTAAGTGAAACGTGATCGTTGTTGTCATATTATTATACTATAAATTGTAGAACGGATTTTCCTACCTACTATACTTATCTATCGACTAATTTCTTTGGTTTTTGTACAATAAACCTACCTACAGTATACATACTAGGTATAACTCTTAGTGTAAAACCAACTTCAAATCTGCAGAACATTGGTTCCATTATTTGTTCCATCCATTATCAGATGTTCAGGTTTCAGCCTGAAGTCTGATAACCCATTATATATACCTATATAGTAAAGTCCCAACTTTACTTAGGGAGTGATTGATCACCGAATATGAAGTTTTGGCGCCATACTACCTTCTAAAATATTTACAAAGACCAAATTAAACAATACCCTACGTATAATATATGAAGTGTTCTCATTAAATAGTTATTGTTATCGACCTGGGAATTTTTTATAGGATAGGGGATAAACAAGCACACGGATGACCTGACGGAGACATGATGAAATCCAAATCTCGTAGATAAGCCACTGATTGGACTTTGTCATTAGGTAGATAAATAATCAATCTGGAAGTCGCTGGGAAGACCTATATTTAGCAGTGGATGTCTTGTGGTTGATTTGGTGATGATAAACATAAAAATACTAGAAATAATTTAGGTAGGTAGGTACTTTGAATTTGATTTAGTGTACCATAGATTCTTTAAAGGGCAATCATGTGAAAGGTGAAGAAATAAACACAAAATATATTTTATTATTACGGAAACCTACGCATATAATGTTCACAATCATTTACCGTGAAAGAATCGACGCCAATGAAATAATGACGCGACACCCATTTCATTTTGACAATCGCATCGCGTGCCAAACACCTATGGCTTCTTCACACGGCATGCATAAATGATACAAACAATTTACTTGCCGAAAACTGCTTTTGGAAATAGACTTAGGAGCAACAAAAATTACATACGGGCAAACAATGGCTTTTGTAGATAATGTGGAATCAATAATTCTATGTTTTAAGCTTACCTACTTCTCAAAAGAACTTTCTGAATAGTTTCATTACTTTAGTAATAGCTACGAAAGTGCATGATACCAATGTTTTGTGTAGAGTTTGCTAGTACATTGCGAGCTCGGTACGAATTCTTCCTGTGTTCCCTACACTAGGTCTCAAGAAAATAAAGAGATCTCAATACTTCAAGAATATTCAAATTATTACACCAATTCACCACATAATTACCTGATAGTGAAGTCAAATGGTTGCAATTCATAGAGAGCCTTGCAAAGTCGAGGCACCAAGCCAGGCTGTGCGTCACTACCCATCATAGTATGTGTCTTGCCCGTTGCACTCTGCCCGTACGCCAGCACACATGCTGAGCAGCCTCGTGATACGCTGGATATCACTTCTCGACCAATGCTTTCGAAGACCTGAAGAAAGGCACATGCAGACTGATCTTACGGTGGTCAACAATTAGCGCCGTCCGTGAACATCTGCAATAAGTACTAGAGGAGTCAAAGAGTGCGCTTCAAACATTTGGGGGGTTGGGGACTATTTTATTCTTAACAATAGACTTCTTTATTAGACTAGGGGTAAAATAGCCTAACTACTGAACTTGAAACTCTGGTAAACAGATCCTAAAATAAAGTAATAGAGTTACCTTCTCCTGTGACGCATAGGATGGATGTGTGCCTGGACAGAAGCTGTCGAAGGTGTAGTCCGCATAGTACTGCCTGATGCGCTCACGACTGTCGCCTGCTCCAGATATGCTTACCTAAGAAAATAAAAATTGCTTACATCGCTGATAACTTTAATTCGCGGACTGATTTATATTAGATAATAAGATAGGTATATCTCTAAACTGATAGTTGAGCTGCATTATGATAGAAAGTCCCTAGAGGTTACTTTTACCGGTTTTTGAGCAACAAGTTTTCCGTTATTTTGGAATTTATATTCACAATATTTTGATGAAATTTTTCGAGAACCCTAGAGCCCGTATTCAACATTATACCTACCAGTAACCATCACTAAACCGAAGTGGCACAGTCTGTGTTTAATATTTTTCGCCACTCACCGTCGTTAACCTGAGTAAACAAATAGCATCTTATCGTATTTAGCTATTGTAACTTACTTTGATATTAGTAATCGTAACAGTGTTACTGTCAACCACGTTCACGACCGGCACGCGATCCTTCTCTGATTTTAATTCCCTGAAAAATTTTAATATTATTTAATTAACTTCATCTAATACGAGGCCGTGACTCTAGCTTATTGCCAATAGCCGACACTATTCCAGACTCTGTGCTTCTCACCTTTTATCCCCGGAGGGGTAGGCAGAGGTGCACATTAAGGCACTTAATGCCACTGTACAATGTAACACCCACTTTTCATTATTTTATGTTATGAGTCCCATGTGAGAGTGAGCCTATTGCCATATACCGGGCTTATTTCCAGTCTCGGTACTACAACTAAGATTTTTTTTTAAAAACCTTGTAACTGCCCAACCAGGATATCGAACTGTGTACCCTGTTCGGTAGTCGCACTTGCGACCACTCGGCCAATGAGACAATCTCTGCTGTTACAATAAAAAAAAAAAACATGACCGGAAACCCAAGACCTCTTGTTTGGCCAGTCGCGCTTGTGAAAATTCTACCCTACAATCAAATTAATGTAGACAGGTAGTAAATAACGTGTGTTGGCGGCGCAGTGGTGGGGCAGCCGGCTGCCGGTGTAATATAGAAAAATAGAGAAATTATTGTTCCGGATCTGATTCTGATCTGAAATTATTATTTCTGTGATGTGTATGTAAATTATATGTGTATTTATAATTATGTTTCTAAACAATACGACACAGGAGAAACTCTTAGAGTGGGGTACCTACATTACATACCCAAGAACATAATTTTAAAATAAATAAAACTCACCTTTCGCTAAATGGTCTAACTCGTATCGCAAGTTTGACATTGGACATTCTCCTTGCTTGTTTACAAACTTCGAAAAAATGGAACTCACTGCACAATGTTTTGATACCTAAGTAGATAGATCTTCAATAATGTTTTTGACAAAATTTCGGCCACTATTAAGGATTGTATATAATTCGACTATTCCAAGGTACTCAGCTATGTAACATTGTTTCAAACGGTACTTTTTTTCAATAAATAGACACGATTATGAAATCCAGTTCAGTATTGACAAACTTGATTGGAAGCTAAAAGTATAATGAACTGTCTTCGGAAGTCTCATACTGGACAATGCTATTTTAGGAACGCACCCTTCCTGTTGCTCTTACACAAGAAGGCATGTTAAAAATAGATTTTGTTCCTTTTTCAATTGTATGTCTATCCCTATGTCCAAATGATACTAGATGAAAAGTATTGAAAAAAAATGTCTTCTATGTAGTAAGTTCGTACTAAATAGTAAGTAAGGTGAGTGGGGGGAAGATCGAACGATTTTTTGTTGAGATGAGTAGTGTTATATTCGAAGTCTTGTAGAACAGTAAATATTTACTGACGCACAAGTTTTATTTGTAATTAGTCAGGAGTAAAGAGTATATTTTCTAATCATATTGATAAAATCCTGTTAATTCGTCTCTAAGGCAGAAAAAATAATTGAATAATATGTGTTAATCCCTAAAATAAAACAGGGGGAAGAGTAAATGGTGATGGGGAAAGATCGAAATAGTTTCTAAAATCGTTAAAATGAGTATTAAACATTGTTGATGGTCTCTAGTCTATAGTTCATTGTGCCCTGAATAGTGAGTACTGAACGTGGTATAAAAATACCTTTAATTGACTAAGATATAAGGTATAGTTTTCTTTCTATATTTCGATCTTACCCCACCGGGGGAAGACAGAAGTAGGGGTTCTCAAACTTTATACGTTAACTGCTTAGGGTTATAAAAATGAAACAACACTATTTATCAAATCACTTATTATTAATTTGGCATATTTAGGAACTCAATTTATTTTCGATTCTACTTGAACCTATTTATCACATGATTCTGTACCCATTAATTCTTAACTTAAAAATTCCAGCACTTAGAAAAAGGCAATTTAATCAAACGAGGGACGATGTAGTCGTCGATAGATATAATACTGTATTTGAAACCATCATCAATTGACGTACTTTTTATGAGCTGTCAAAACGCGATTCACCCAAACTTTTTGAATGAAAACATCACCTTAAGACGTCACATGTTAGCAAACTAATTGACTAACTATTTATTGATTTCAAAGTGACTAATCAGAAACAAAAAAAAATATCCAATTTTACAGTAAATTAAAAGTGAACCGGATTTTTAGGACTAAAATTAGGAGAGGCTTATAGAAATTGTGCCTTACATTTATCGGTTAATGGTGTCAAATACCGTATTATTGAGCATAATTGAATTATAACACTGGTACGCAAATGGTACATAAATTAAGAAACAAAAGTTGGATACCTACTCTAAACAATATAGTTAAAAGTAAACTTTAAATGTTTTTCAAATCGTTACTTTAAAAACAAGATCAAAATAACAACAAACACTTCACTGAATATTGTATTTTTTTAAATCAACGTCAAACTTGATTTGGCCACGACGAGAGATTACAGGTGCGGGAAGTATACAAACAATATCTTCCTTGTGTTTTAAAGCACTAACATCTTCCACAATCGGATATGTGAAAGAGGTAACTGTATCAGCTGACCTTGTTTGTTTTATTTTTCTTACATATTTTACCACAGGCATTTGATTTTCAAATGACAAAATTGTCCCAACAAAATGTTTAACATATTTTTTTGTAGCAAACTTCACTACAAGCCAATCATCTTTCTTCAACTTACTATGATTCCCATCATAAAATATTATTTCGCTTAATCCTAAGGGGATGTTTTCGTATGGATTAAAGTTTTCTTGATCTTCATCTTGTTCTTGTAAACAACTGTCTATAAACTCATCCATATTATTATAATCAGATTCGTCAGTTTCAACAGTCTCAACCGGTATTTCGTTTTCAGAGCTTTCCGTATCACTAGACAATAATCGTTTCCTATTTCTTATTACATTTCTAGATATTTGCTTCTGCTGCCTTTTGTTTTCTTCATATTTTTTAGAATATTTCTCTTTTATTATTTTGCTACTGTTTCTAATTTTTAGTTTCTTTTCTTTTACGAGTTTACTTTCTTTAGTCATTTTAATCTTTGGTATTGTTATTTTAGTCTGAAGTATATTTTTTGTAGTTTTATCATATAAATTTTTTTTCATGGTCTCTGTGATCACTTCCGCTCCTAAGGCTACACGCCTTTTTTTTATTTTTGCGTCAAGTCGAGGGGTTTGTTTAACTGTTGCTAAAAGAAGTTCTTCAAAGTTAACTACTTCATTAGAAATTATATTAATTTTTGAATTTTGTGTGTGTAAAGCATTTTTGGATGCTGTTCCACTTTCAACTATAAAATTGTTCGATGTCAGACATGTCGGCAATTCCTCATAGCAGTTTGCTATGAATGTTTGTGCCTGTTCTTGATCTTTCGACACATTCGCCAACAATTGAATACTTTCTAACTCGTCAACTAAAGAAGTGTTTTCAAAATTGAATGGCATGTTATCGTACATTAGGATATTGATAACATTAATGCAATGTTCTTTTAAAGGTACTGGGGTTTGTGTTAACTGAAATTGTAACGGGGGTAAAAACTGTACATCTCTTGGCAAAGAATTTTGTATATTATCTATTGCTGGATTGGACTGAGACTGTTGCTGTGAAGACTGAAAATTGTTTTTTTGTGCTTCTTCCCAGCGTTTGTATGCTCTTGGGTCGTACCGATCAATTGAAACCACCTCAGAGTTAAATGGGAATATTCCTGCTTTTTTAAAGCCGTTCATTATTATTTC